TTACTTTCCATCCGAAAAAAAGGCACAAAAAACTCAAGTCTCAGGAAGCTTTTGCGAAGGCTGTCTGGCCTCCGCCCGTGGATTAGTCTGCAAGTTCGGCCGTGGCTTCAACGTTGGTCGCCTCATTCCTGTGGTTTTTGCTGGTGGTTCTTCTCGACGAACGTCTCCGGAGGTAGTGAAGTCTTCCCAACAATGTCTCTTGGTCGCTTTACAGCTAGTCCACTGCCTGCGTTGTCGCTGATTTCCATGTCGTCTTGCAGTGTGTCTGCGTCGCTGGGAGCCTTCACAGTCGGCAGGTGCTGTTCTGGCTTGTCTGTCGTTATCGGTTTTTCTGGCTCTGGTTCAGATGCCTTGTTCTCGACCTTTTCATTGTCCATCCTACTAGGCCTGCTCAGTTTCACCAATTCTGGGGTCACCTCTTCCTTCCTCGCAGTCGCGCTCACTGCCTCTTCAGCTTCATGCTCGTCCATTAACAGGTCTGCGTGGTCGTTGCCACTCGGAGGTCCGGTGATGCTGGCTTAAGACAACGTGCAGTCGTTTTCCTCGTGGCCAAATCTTCGGCAGGCACCACAGCGTGGCACACGGCAATCTCGCCGTATGTGCCCCTTTGCTCGACAGCGTAAGCACACTGGCGCTCTGCCCGGAACAACCACCAAAGCTTGCTCACCGCTTACGTTCACTTGGTGAGGCAGGTCTTCAATTTTGACGTCCACTTTCAACCGAAGTGTCACAATACGGGTAGTGGAGCCTTTTTCACTGATGCCGTTTACACGCCACCGCTCTCTGTTGACGTCAACCACTTGGCCGTACCGCTCGAAAGGGCGTCGCACATCCTCATCGAGAACATTGTGCAGCAGCCAGTGCACTTTCATACGCACATCCTGGTTTGCCGGATCAATGACAAGACAGCGACAATTTTTTTACCTTGATATCGCCTTGCGATAGAATCGTCTTGACAGCGTCCATGTTCTTGAACGTTACCGCCCACACGTGGCTCATCCTATATGCCCCCAAAGCAACCACTTCGGGGAGCAGTCGCAGGCTGGCCAAGGTGTCACGGAAATCTTCCACTCGATAAGGTCGGGCTTGTACGTCAGCGTGCAGAAAAACCGCATTTAAAACAATTCGTCCTGTAGGAAGGGTTGGCAACACAACTTCATAATCCTTATCGTTATCAAAAGACCTGTTTCCGCGGCTCAAACGGGCCGCTGATACCGCTCCACTGGAGCTTTCCATGACACGTCCGATCGCTTCAGCGTCCGGAAGTGGAATCTGACCACTATGCTAACGAGGATGTGCGTAAGCATGGCAGACACGACGGTGTTCTCAGCGAGATCACAACTCTAGCGTGACATGACTGTTTCAGTGGGAGAGAAAAAACAAAAAACGAAGACAGCTCGCGCTAGAGCTTCCCCATTATATTAGCTAACTCTGGAGGAGATGGAGAAAACGAAGCTAATTTGCCGAATCGTATAGCAGTGCACGCTCAACTTCCACCCTACGATAACTAAAAGATAAAAAAATCATTGCTCCCCGTCGGGGAATCGAACCCCGGTCTCCCGCGTGACAGGCGGGGATACTGACCACTATACTAACGAGGATGTGCTTAAGCATTTTTTTTTCTTTATTGCCTGTTTTCGGCTCACGTAAACAATACACATATTAACTGATAATTACACAACACAATCCAAAACATTGTAAAAACCGTGGCTCAAACGATGTGGCCACGCATCTGTTAAAATGTTTTTATCGTCGATAGTAATTCGACGCGCGGCAACCATTCTGGGGGGAATTCCTGCAACTTTTGTTCATCCACAAAATTTCTTATATACTCTTTGAAGTACTGGGTGGGTGCTCGTGCATCTACATCAAAGTGCATGGCTGCCATCCTGGATTTCCAAATGCTATGAAGAGCCATAAGCATTATCATATCATATGGGGTACCATCGTCACTTTGTATTTGCAAATAGCGGATGCCATATGCATCAATGGGGAAGTCTTTTTTGATCGTGCGCTGGAGCACGTCCCAAAGAAAGATAGCATCCCAGCAGTCAATGAATACATGCTCAATTGTCTCCTCCTTTCTGCATATTATGCAATGCGTGCCCCAAGGAACGTAAAACCCCTTTGCAGCCATCCAGGTTTTGACGGTCAGCGTACCGGTATGTAATTTAAAAAAGAAATTCTTAGCACCTGGCGATATTTTCATCGCCTTGACGCGCTTTAGTACAGTGTGGCCATGGCATACATTGTAAAGGGACCGATACAAAGGCACTGGTAAAAACACATCACATAGGTCCTTGTACAACTTTCTTCGTCGGACTTGACTCAAGTATTCAAGTGAAAACCGCACTGACAGAAACCTACAAGAAAGTACAACTTCGCGGAGAAAGCCATAAACACCACCAGGTACGCTGCAGGTTGATACAACCATGTTAGGCAAGTGTTGCCCCAGGCGAAGTTGACAGACAGTGCGAAGGAATGGGTTGTCGACGTCTCTAAAGAAACAAAATCGATTGACTACCTGTCTTAAAAACAAATGCGACAAGCCGAGTCCTCCATTTCGCACTCGAAGAAATAAATTGGTCCGACTCGATCTTTCCCAAGACGATTCCCACACAAAGACAGCGAACACACGGTGAAATTTTTGGATGTTTACCCTTGAACAATGTAAGACTTGTAAGATATACCAAATTTTACTCACTAAGAATATGTTGCAAATTGTGGCTTTAGAAAACATAGACCAATTCCAGCCATTCCACTTGTTCACTCTTTCCCGCAGGTTATCCACTTGGCTCCTCCAGTACGAGTCGCTGTCTTTGTAGCATTCGAGGGGGGCACCCAAGTATTTCACCGGTGTCGTAACAAACCTTATGCTGGCAAAACTGTCTGGGGTTTCTGCCCAGTCACCGTGCCAAAAGCCAAGGCATTTTCCCCAGTTTACAGCGCTGCCACTTGCAGCACAGAAGTTAGTAACGCATTTGACAGCATCTGCTATGCTGTCAGAGTCCGCGCAAAAAATGGCAATATCGTCCGCATAAGCCAACAGTCGGACTTCAACCTCGTGCAGCTTAAACCCACGGACACAGTCATTCTCTATGACACTCAAACAAAAGGACTCTATGTACAAACAAAACAATAGTGGTGAGAGAGGACAACCCTGACGGACCGAACGCTTGACTGGGATGCGCTTCCCCACCACCTTGTTAACGATTAGCCGCGTTGAGCAGTCTCGGTACGCCATGACAACCCCCTCTTTGATTATTTTCCCTAAATTCACATAATCTAGGATGCACAGCAGAATTTCATGAGGCACCCTGTCAAAAGCCTTCTCGAGGTCGATTTGCAGCATTGCGACTCGCGCACCAATAGCGTCGCAACATTCGAGGATGCTCCGGGCTGCGTGTATATTCGTGAGGATAGTTCGACCTTTAATGCCGCACGTCTGATGCGGCCCCACGAGCTCCGTAATGACTGTTTGCAACCTTTTAGCTAGGATTTTCATGAATATCTTGTAATCTCCATTAGTGAGGCAGATTGGGCGGTAAGAATTTACTTTGCGCAGTGCAACGGGGTCTTCCGATTTTGGTATAAGAACAGTGTGAGATGATGAAAAGGACGGGGGTAATATTTTCAGCTCGAATGCCTCATTATAAACGTCGGCTAAGACTGGTGTTATTTCAAACTTGAAACACTTATAAAAGGCGGAAGTCAGACCATCAGGGCCAGGCGATTTCCCGGATGCATACTTTCAATAGCACTGTTAACTTCCTCTTCCGAAATGGGTTCCTCCAATAATTCTTTTGCATTATTGTCAAGCTTTGGCATCAGCGGTAAAAAATCTTTTTTAAAACGATCGACATCAACTGAGCTGGCGGCGAATAAACCATTGAAGTGCTCAAAGAAAGCACGCTCGATAACATCTGCGACATCGCTGACTTCACCCTCGTGTTCAATTTCTGTTATCTGATTACGACGCGCATGCCACTTTTCTGAGCCCAACGCCCTTTTTGACGGTGCTTCTGCCGTTATCAGTCGCTCGGCTCTTGCCCGAACCATAGCACCGCGGTATCTTTCGACATCGAACCGCTCAATTTTACTTTTCAACGCGCGAATATCTTCAAGAAACATGCCGGGCATTCTACATTCTTCGAGGAGCAATTTTTCCAGGTTTCTGCGCATGAGCTTTTCTTCTGCTCCTTTTTCTCTGCTTATAGCGCTCGAGCGTTCCAAAGCCTTCAATTTAACGACCTGCTTGAAGTTCTCCCATTTTTCTCTAAACGTCTTTTTACTGCGAACTTTCATTTTTTCAACTTCCGTCATTACTTCCTCCATAAATTTTTCATCACTCAGCAGATTCGAATTCAATTTCCATAGTTGCCACTCGAAGGCCCTTTTCGTTTCTTTCGTGCTAGCTACTACAAAGCTAACCAAGCAGTGGTCACTAAATGAAACGGCGTTAACACGGTATGCCTTGCAAAGCGGTACCAATTCTACACTCACGTACGCCCTATCTAGTCGGGCATGGCTGGCTGCCTGAAAGTGGGTGTACTGCATAGTCCGGCCACCACCGAGACATTCAGCCACATCCTCCAAACCATGTTCTCTTACTATATCGCTTAAGACAGCCGTACTTGCATCCCTGTAATGTCGTTCGCTAGTTTTGTCTTTGGCTGAAAGGACGCAGTTGAAATCGCCAATAATGATTAGGAGCCTATTACATTTGGTATACTGCTTTAGTTGTTCGAAAAATATGCGTCTTTCGTCAGTGACAGTCGGTGCGTACAAGCATATTACGCGCCATTCCAATCCCGAAAACAAAAGATCACAAACAATGAGCCGACCAGACGGACATGACGTTGAGGCTTCTACTTTAGCACCCAGACTCTGTCTGACGAACAAAACGCAACCAGAAGAAGTCCCTATGGCATGGCTAACTATAACAGAATACCGCGGCAAGAATTGGCGCACCATGCCCCCAGTTTCATCGTCGCCATGGACTTTAGTCTCTTGGACTGCCAGTATGTCAAGGTCGAGGTCACTTACTAGCCGATAAAGTTGACATTGTTTTCTCCGTGAGGCCAGGCCACGCACATTTAAAGTGGCCACACGGATTGAATTTTCTATTTGCACCATTGTAAGGCTACGAAAAACCCAGGGGCATGGCGCTTACCTTACAACTGCAATTCCTTCCTGAACGCCTTGTCCCAGTACAGTCCTTAAGTTGGCGAAGGCGGCGTTTCCGCCGTCTTGCGCTCCGACGAAATGTTTGGCCGTGGCCGGATGATAGGCCGCCGAGCGGGAGTCGTTTTGGCGGGTGGTTCGTCCGGCGAGGCAGCAGTGGTGCCCTTGTCTTTTTTCCCTTCGTCACGGGGACGCTTCCCCGTCACAGTGCCACTGTCGCTTTCAATCCCAGTCATCGGTTCAGCCTCGGAGGGGGTCTCGTCTGCTGAGCCAAGACACGTGTCGCCGGTGCTGCTTGCATCCACCTTTTCACTACTTTCGCCTACGCCTTCGTATGGAAGCCCGGCGTCGGGCTTACCTGGTGCTTCACACACGCCCTCTTCTTGACGGCATGACGACCCATCTTCCACAGCAGAGTTCGGGTTAACTCCTGCTGTTTCTTCCGAGTCTGCTTCGTCCATGAGGTGCTCCAGTGCATCACTTTCCTGCGCTGGTCCAGTCACACTGGCATATGTCTTCGCGCAGTCGGCGTCTTCGTGGCCGAAGCGGCGACAACGACTGCAGCGGGGTACTCGGCAGTCGCGACGTATGTGACCGGTACTCTTGCACCGTAGGCACAACGGTGCACGGCCTGGAACGACAACGAGAGTCAGCTCTCCGGCAATCTTGAGCTGGTGCGGAATGTCATCCACCTTGACGTCGGAGTGCAGCTTTAGTCCCACAGACCGCGTCGTTGAGCCCTTTTCTGTGATGCCCGGTGCTCGCCACTTCTCCCGTTTCACTTCGAACACTTTCCCATAGGGAGTCAAGGCAACACGCACGTCTTCGTCGGTCACGCCGTGCAGCAACCAGTGAAGCTTCAAGCGAACCTCGCGGTTATTTGGGTCAATGAGCAAACATGGGCGATCCTTTACCTTCACATCGATGGCGGAGAGCAACTTCCGAGCAGCCTCAGCACTCGTCAGTGTCACAGCCCATACGTGGTTCATTTGATACGCCCCCAACGCCAAAACGTCGTCGAGCGCACCAAGCTTGGCCAAAGTGTCCCTGTAGTCTTCGACGCGGTAAGGCCGGGCTCTCGGATCACCATGCATGAAAACGGTATTCGCAGCGATGCGTCCGGAAGGCAGATTGGGCAAAATCACCTGATAATCGTCGGCGCTAGGCGCAAAAACCCTGTCACCGCGGCCCGGTCGGGCCGCTGATACCGCTCCGTCGGAGCCGAACATTCCGCGACCGTATCGCTCGAAAGCCGGAAGTGGAATCCTACTAACGAGGATGTGCTTAAGCACGGCAGACACGACGGTGTTCTCAGCGAGATCACAACTCTAGCGTGACATTGACTGTTTCAGTAGGAGATAAAAACAAAAAAACAAAGACAGCTTGCGCTAGAGCTTCCCCATTATATTAGCTAACTCTGGAGGAGAGTGAGAAAACGGAGCTAATTTGCCGAATTGTATAGCAGTGCAGGCTCAACTTCCACCCTATGGTAACTTATAGATAAAAAAATCTCTGCTCCCCGTCGGGGAATCGAACCCCGGTCTCCCGCGTGACAGGCGGGGATACTGACCACTATACTAACGAGGATGTGCTTAAGCATGGCAGACACGACGGTGTTCTCAGCGAGATCACAACTCTAGCGTGACATGACTGTTTCAGTGGGAGAGAAAAAACAAAAAACAAAGACAGCTCGCGCTAGAGCTTCCCCATTATATTAGCTAACTCTGGAGGAGATGGAGAAAACGGAGCTAATTTGCCGAATCGTATAGCAGTGCACGCTCAACTTCCACCCTATGATAACTAATAGATAAAAAAATCACTGCTCCCCGTCGGGGAATCGAACCCCGGTCTCCCGCGTGACAGGCGGGGATACTGACCACTATACTAACGAGGATTTTTTTTTCTATCACGGTATTTATTAAAGTACTTTGGCAATCATGACAAAGTCAAGCGAACAAAAGTACAATCAAATCGCGAAAGTAAGCGTTCAAGTGTTACTCATAAACACTAAATGCCTAACACAGCGCGAGTTCCTCACATGGAGAGTTCTTCACATCGTGTTATACAAACAAAAAAGGGGTGAGGTCAAACAGTTCTCTAAGACGGAGTACCAGTCCGGTCTAAAGTCTAGCTCGTCGTAAATGTTTTTTAGGTGGATAGCCATTTGAATGAAGTGTGCACTTGAAGAGGTGGTGGGCTCTGCATTGCAGTCTTGCATTCGTGTCTTCCACAAGCTGTGCATACCCATGAGGAAAAACATATCATATGGTACTTCATCAAGCGCTGCTGGCAGAAGATAACGTATTGTGTGAGAATTAATGACGAAACGTTTTTTCAGTGCTCGCTGAAGGACATCCCAAAACAGTATGGCATCTTTGCAGCTAACAAAGCAAT